TGATGTATTTAAGTTCTACAAGTACTGTAGTGATGCTCTTATTGCTTTGGTTGGAAGCAAATGGGTAAAATTCTTGAAACACCCAATGGAAATGGTCTGATTTTCTGTGGTATCTACATAGGTACAGATTAGCAAGCTCTTACATTGGTTTGGGCCTAATGAACTGGACTGAAGACCTAACATGTCAGACATGTCAAAACAACAACGTGATTAGGAAGTGACATTAGACTCAACCAGTCACACTTTGATTTCCATTGGTGGGACCAATTTCATGAAGAAAAATGCCACTTTAGGCCTTGAATGTGAATGTAACAGTAGCAGTTGGACCTGATTGGGTTGTGGACACGAGTTGGGTTCAGGTTTCATGGCCATGCAGACAGTGTGTGCATGTGTTTACATGTGAGCAAGAAGCTTAGATTGACTGGTCAAAGTTACCTGCTTTTTTACAGCTAGAATGGTGGGTAGTAATCTCTAAATACTGTAGTAATGGTGAGTTTATAATCTCTGAAAGCACATGTTGAGAAAACTCCCTTCACCCATAATGGTTATTATTGATTGCAAGCAATTTTTATATTTGATCCACTAACCTTTCCATGCCCTCAGCAGTCCAGCCAGTACTCAAAACATACTGTTCATAAACCCCTTAATGAAATTCCCTAGACTGCACCAAATCTATATAAAGACAAGACTGGGCAACGCATCCCTGATTGATTTTCCTTAGTTTTTTTTCTGCCATCTTTTTCCAAAAGGAACTTAATTAGGGAAAGAACCAAGAAAAGAAGGAGAAAAAAAGAGGAAATAGTAAAAAAAAAGATGTGGAGTGTTGAGTGGGGCCCTGTGACTGGGTGTTGAATTATTAAACTGGTCCGGAGAGCTGTGTGATGCTCCTGTGTGATGCTGCGTTCTTGTGGCTGCAGAGATTTTGTTTTTCTTTTTTTTCCCTGCTGTTTTGTCTCCCACCACAGAGGCTCATCAGAGAAGAACAAAGCCTCTGTTAAAGTCCTCCATCACACAGCACTGCTAATGCACCCTTATAGGACTTTGCTCTTTTCTCACAAGTGTCCTTCACCCTGCCTTTCAGAGTTTACCTTCATGCTGAAAACGCCTCTAATACGCTCTTATATGATGATGTTATTCTCTCTCTCCAGATACAGTGCATTCACTTTCATTTACTCTTTACATCTCTTTCTCTCTTTCTCTCTCTCTCTCTCTCTCTCTCTCTCTCTATATATATATATATATATATATGTGTGTGTGTGTGTGTGCGTGTGTGTGTGCGTGTGTGTGTGTGTGTGTGTGTGTGTATGTATGTATATCTCCCTCCAACTTGCTCTACCTGTGCCTGTTCTTTCTTCTTCTTCTTCCTTCTATGTTTGTCTTTAGTTCATTCTCGTTTCCTCTCTCTTTACTGCCTCTCTTGCTCTCTCTGTTTCTCATATATATATATATCTTTTTTCTTTTTCTTACTTTCTCCCTGTGTCTCTTTCTTCTGTTCTCTGTCTCTCACCCTCCGTCTCCCACTCACCTCTTTCCTCTTCGTTTCTGCACTTGCTAATACGTTCTCTTGCTATTTCACCTTCCTTCGCTCTCTCTCCCGCATGGTTTCGGCTGAAGGCAGAACACTCCTCCAGGGTTTTTAATGGTGTGGGATTAGTTTTCAATCATTGGTGAGGCTTTGGGAGTCAAATGAGGAAAAATTGCACTGAACTGGAGTTGTGATCTAAGGAGCTTGTGTGTGAGGGGGTCGATGTTGTTGAATGTGCCCTGAATGTGTGAGTAGAAGCTGAAGGCCCGGTCTGTTTTTGTCGACCCCCTATCAATGCTGCACATATAAATCTAGTATGACCGGTGAACTAAAGGTGTCTAGGAGATTTGAAAGGACTAGAGTCAAAGCAAACCTCATAAACCTTCTCTATTAGTTGAATTATGGATTAATTCCTGGTTTTAATAATTCAGTGGGAAAAATATAGTTTGTGGGTGTGAGTGTTCTAGGCCTGTCAAACAGTGCAGAAGCCACCAATACACGAACATAAAGAGTGTAAACTAAAGGGCTTTAGGTTCTGTGTAATGGCTGATGCGCCCTGACTCTGTGCCTAATTAAAGCCCAAGCCATCTCTTGTCACTTTGGTCATTACATGTATAGCTCTAACCCCTGGGCTAACCTGCTAAAGTGCTTTTTCACCAAACACAGCATCAACACCCACTCTCAAACTGCCGAAAGTGAAATACACAAAGCCACCCTTTTAATCCGTGTGGCCTTTATCTCTCCTGCTGTGGGAAACTGTGCAGAAAGAGCAGTGATGACCTAATTGAGGGTGACTAAAGGTGGCTGCTATGCCTCCAACCAGGAGCTACACTTTTGCTTAAATGTACTGATCGCTGCTATGGAGAGCATTACCTGCCAGTTCAATTAGCCAGCTCGTTTAGCCTATACATGAGTGCCGTTAATTATTCATTGTGTCTGAAATTGTTGGACATTGGCGCGAAGACTTCTCTATTAGCTTGGCTGTGCTGTAGGTGTGTTAGTGTTTAACGGTAATGTGCTGTAATGCTCTGTTCAGCAGCGGCGAGCTGAGACAGGCGTGGTGTCTGTGTGATTTACTGTGCGCTGCCTGGCCGTATATCACCACTGCTTGGGATTTCTTATTCAGGAGGAGATTGTGCTGGATATTTCATTCCATTAGCGGCGAGCGAAATGTCAGCCATCTCCTCCCGGCCCATGGCTGGCGTGTCTGACTCCACCCCCCTCCACTTGTCTCTCTCACTCCTGATAGATGGAGAGAACAACTCCAGACTAACTCTGCCCTGTCAGTCAGTGGCACCTAAAACACACACACGCAAACACAAGCACAACACACAAACACATACACTTGTCTGAACTGTTAGATCGCAGTTTCTCAGGAACTTCACGTTGTTGTTTTGTGATGTGAGGACTTCCAAATGGCTGAAGCTGTTAGATTTACAATATAGCAGACTTCCTTAGACCAAAGGTTTAAGGAATGTCATATATGTATATGGAATATGCGAAAGAGTCTGAATGAGCCCAAAAATACAGAATCCATCACTTCTCAGTGACTTATTTCCTCTCTGCCCCCCAGTTTTCAAATGTAATAATAATAATAACAAGAATAATAATAATACTGATAATAATAAGGGGGTGGACATCTCTGACCTCACAACAATTAAGTGCAATTAAGATTTTTTACAAAATGATTCACTGCAGTCTCATGTTTCCTCATGATTCAATGCTGTTTGATTCAATTGGGTTAGATTCACAAACCTGATAGGAGGAACTATTAACACACTAGTGAAATACAGACAATAAAGACAACACAAATGGCACACCAAGCCAAAAATGAGGGCACAAGATTATTAATAAAAATCAGTTCTGACTTTCAATAATTAATCCAATTGAGTCTCCACCTTCAGTTTATTGTCAGTGCATTTTTAAACCCTAGTAAACGAAACTGCACTTTCCTTGTGAGTTCCTATATGCAACACTTCAGTGTGTCTACCGTCCGAGAAATTGTGAACTGTGAAAACCTCTGCCATATTTCCCTTTCACAGAAAACAAGGAATTCTACAAGCTGTTAGGATTTGCTGTTCGATTCTGTCACATCGAGCAAGCGTCCCGCCTCCCACTCAAACAAACATGCCCACTCAGCCAGCCTACATACTTTCACTCTAGCCTCTGCTGTCATCTCTAATGGACACAACTGCTTAAAACAGCGATATAATGTCACTGCAGCATCCGGGCTTGTGTGAGAGGAGTGAGGACCCTTGAGGCAGAAGTGAGAGACACAGATTTTATTTATTTTCTATTATTTTTTTATTTATAATCAACAAAAGCTTAGCTTTGCAGCTCATTTAACTTAAGTAGGACTCATTCGGCTGTGACTTTTCAGTCTCGTAGTCTCCAGGTCTAAGCTTTGCTCTGCGTCTGGCCCTCTCTCTCGTATCCGACAGCCTACTGAGAGAAGACAGGAACATAAATAGGCCAGAAACAACACATAGGTGAAAACCATAACCTACTCAGCCTGCTGGTTCAATATGACTCGCTCTCCATCCCGCTAGTGACGTTCGACCGTGCCCCGCCTCCACACGTCACAAATCGCAAATAAACTTGTGTCAGTGACTAATTCAGCTGACTATTTTTAGCTTTCTGTGGGCTAATTTGACCATATTCTGTCCTCACTAGAGTACACAGTGATGCTAACATGCCTTAGGAATATCAGAGACGTAAAGGAGGAGGAGATGGATCTCTGGTTGGAAAATGAATGGGGACGGTTGTAACGCTTAACAAGGTGTCTGTTTACAGGGAACCCCTGTACTGAGATCATTAATATCCAAAATCAATGCCCAGAAAATGAGCTTTTCTTAAATGACAGGATATAAATATCATACAAGGACAGAATTAAGGTGTTATTTGGTCACAGTTGTCTTTCAACAAACACAAAGAACTACAGTAAATTGAGAAAAAATCTTTAGAATGCTGGTGCTGACCCATCACTGTGCTTTTAATGGACAGTGATGGCAGGAGGTTTGTGCCCTCAAGTGGAATTGCATTCCATTAGCAAACAGGAATAGTCCATATATCAGTGTCTGAGGGGAAAGTGTGTTTCTCAGTATTAGATTTTGACAGCTTCCAAAGAGCTATAGACACACTTTGCATTAAATCTGTGGTGTGCTGTGTGTGTGTATGTGTTTTAGCTAAACCGAAATCACTTTTCATAACTGCCTGAATGTTTGTTCTGCAGGTGTGATGGAGGGAAATGAAATGTCTCTAAAAAGACATCCATATTGGAAATGGCTGTGTAGAAGTTCATTCGTGTTGAATTTGTCTCTGCTGAGTCATCACATTCACTCTGCTTCTAATGACAGTGTGGTTTGTTTTGTAATAGACTCTAATAAAGTCTCTTTCTCTCTCTCTCTCTCTCTCTCTCTCTCTCGCTCTCTCTCTCTCTCTCTCTCTCTCTCTCTCTCTCTCTCTCTCTCTGTAGTTGTGTGGCTGTGGGTTGCTGGGTGTAGGGATTTGGTTGGCTGTGTCTCAGGGCAGCTTCGCCACTTTCTCACCCTCCTTCCCGTCCCTGTCCGCTGCCAACCTGGTCATCGCCATAGGCGCCATCGTCATGGTGACCGGCTTCCTCGGTTGCTTGGGTGCCATCAAGGAAAACAAGTGCCTACTCCTGAGCGTGAGTACAGCCCACTTTCACATTCGCGCTAACCCATCCCAGAGTGTACCAGCCCAGTAAACAGACCTGTGGCTACTCTCTAACTCTTTATCTCTGCACTCCCTAGGCTGTTAAGTAAATAAATGAATGAATAAATAAATGCTCATTGCCTGAATGCATTTTAAACCACATTCATTTTCACTTAAATTGCTGTGTACCCTGCTTTTAACTTGTTAAATGATTTAAAAGTCTTTATCCCGTACATCAAGGGCTTTAGAAGAGTTTTTGCTCCAGGTGCGATATGAGACATTGTTTGTCTTCTAAAGTCCCCAACAGACCCGCTTTTGCTAATGAGCTCAGTGGAGCTAATGGAAGCGTCCATAACTCTCCTGGCTGCTGCGGTGCGGGGGGGGGGTAGGATCAGAGCTAGAGGCTTCTCTCAACTTTGCTCACAGAATTTCTCTAATAGCAGGGTTTTAAAGCACTCTTTTATTTCTCTCCCTCACACATCAAGTCTCTTTATGCTCTCATTTACTCTGTATGCCACCCTCCTTTCTTTCTCCCTTCTTTTTTTCTCTCTCTCTCACCCTCTGTCCTTTCTGTCTCTCGCCCACCCTCACATGCTATTAAGTATCATACACAAAGCCATCATCTCTTTTTAATAGCACCGGTCACAGTCTAGTTGAGGGAGCTTGTGACATGCAGGGCTTTTGTGTCACTTACAAGCCTGAATTATACATTGTTCAAGATGACACTGTATTTTGTGCAGTAGTGAGAATCCCACCATCATGTTTCATCATGAGTACTGCGATCGTTTTTTTCCCCACTAAGCTTCATTTATTCATCACAAGACAAACTTGATGACCTCACACCTGAGTGCGAATAAACACAGAGGGGACATGCATGTAATAAAGTATTTATATGCTGAAGAAAGTTCGAAATAGAAGCTCTCAGAGCAACGTTTGCCAGAGGAGCAAGATTTTGTTTATGAATCATTCAATATCTCCCAGCAACCAAAAAAAGGCAATCACATGACTGGAGTCAGGGACTCAGACAGCAGAGCTGATATTTTAATACCATTTTTTCAGCGCTTAAGCCTCCGTAAATGCTTATTAGATGGAGCTGGTGTATATTTGAATTGCCTGACCTTTTGGACGGCCAAGCTCTGCATGCAGTATATATAGCAGCGTGGCTCTACGAGAGCGAGTGGAGACATTAGAGCTGGGCGGTGTCCTGCAGGGTTTGGAGATGAGAGCAGTCTGCTACCTCCGATGTGCTTTAGCTGTGTGTTCACCACTCTATAGAGGAACACGCTCCGAGACTGCAGAGTTCACAACTTGTCCACTACTAAAGCTGCATGCAAAAGTTTTCAGTGCCCATGTCCAAATAAGGTCCTTCCAGTTAGACCTGGTCATTTCCATCCCTGACCACATATGAAACGTACAACCATACGCAAAAGTTTCAACACCCCAAGTCAAATTCTATTTTATTGATTTTCTAGGTGAAAATAATACATCATCTACTAAGAGCACACTTCTGCACATTATAATGCACAGTCACTGTTACAAACGTTATGCCATATTTTATATTTAATTTTTTTTTCTTTATGTTAAATAAAAAGAAATTATGCACTAAATTTAGTAAAATCTCATATTTATTGTGTTCTCAGAAAAGGATGTGTTAACTTTTTTTCACTTAGAACAACGGAATTTGATTGGGATGTTGTAACTTTCACTTATTGTTGTACGTTTCATATGTGGTCAGGAATAGAAATGACCATGTCTTACTGGAAGAACCTTATTTTATTCATGCATTTATTTATGGCTTTATATTTAGTTTTATTTATTAATTTAATACACCAAGGTTTAAGGAAACTAGAAAGCAAACAACTTTTAGCATATCCTACCAAACACAAGGACAGACCTGATGCAGAATGCATTACCATGGAGACTGGGTGGACGGACTCTGCTACAGTGTGACTTTCCATTGGCTGAACAGGCTGGACTAGATGTGGTCATCAGTTCAGTTCAGGCACATGCATTAGGAACAGTGTAAAACAAAATGCGTTTTTTGAAATCTGAGCTGGAACGCTGTTCCATCCTGACTCTTACTCCCAGAATGTGGCAAAAAGAGAAAACAGAAAATTGCGACTCAGCCAGCATGACAGAAGACACAAACGTATGCTCACGCTGCCTGTTTCACTCATCAGCTTATACATGCACTGACAACACCAGTATTTTCCCTCTAATTATGGGGAAGCAGTATGGTAAACTAATCATTTGGAACCATCAATGCAAAGATTCAATAAACAAGCATCTTAAGGGTTTTCAGCTGGGCTAAAGCTGTAGCTCATATGCACACCGACAGCTCTGATCAGCGGTATGATGAATGGGTGGTGAATCAAGCCCTCAGTGAGCTAATGTTTACTGCCTGACGAGTGCATGCTGTATAGAAGGTTGGGTAAATATTTAGCAGAAGGAGAGAAACGGAGCAAGAGAGAGTAAAGGAGCGTGTTTGAACAAGGGATGATTCATTTGAATGGACCTTCTCCTTCACTTGGTCTCTCTCTTCCTCTCTCTCTCTAATAACTCATTAATTTTCTCTGTTCTTTCTGTTTGCAGTTCTTCATTGTCTTGCTGATTATTTTGCTGGCAGAGCTGATTTTGCTCATCCTCTTCTTCGTGTACTCGAATAAGGTAAGCACTTTGACAAATCTCACATCCTGCTAGCGTTTGCACAATAGTGTCATTCTCCTAAACTAGCGTTTAGATCAAAGCAGATAACATGCACTAATGACATGGAGTCCTCTCTTAAAGACCACACACACTCTTTTTCATTCTCACACTCACACATTGACTCGTGGTCTGTGAGATTTCTGAGACAGATCAGTGTCTGCCTGTTGCTCCAGTTGTCAGCCGAGTTTGCTTGAGGACAGCTGCCCCTTCGGTCTGTGACGATGAACCTTTAGTGTTTCCATGCCCCGGATATTACTCAAAGGTCAAATGTCATCTCACACAATTCAGCCTGATCTTGTCCAGTTGGCTCTGAGTGATTGGTGTTAAGCTTATTCTTAGTGCACATCTCTATTTGCTCTACTAGTCTAGCGTCATGTGGTCCCTTTCCCATGCCCTAAGGGCAGTGCCCATACTCAGGCCTGAGAATGCTGGTATGTACCAGACTGTACTATGTGACCTCTTGACATTACTTGAGTCCTCCAAGATTGGTATCCATTAGCAGTATGCGTGGCTTTCTAGTCCCTTTTTGATAAAGTTAGAAGTCTCACTCAACAAATACTCTAAATGTGCTCTGCCGAAGTGAATTAACGTCACACTGGCTTTTCTGACGCCGATCTATTTATTGAGTACTTCAGTAAGATAAAATTACCAATTGGGTCTAAATGAAGACACACTCCCTGTTCTAGAGTGAAAACATTTAGTTTTCATCTAGTTAACAATTACACCTGTTAATTAACCCTAATTATTGCTTAATAAAGTAAAATGGTGGAGCAGCCAGTTAATTACCAGCGACTGGTTTGAGCCTTATTGATTTGTCTCAATAAGAGCGTTACAGTGGTATTATAATCTCGTCCTATAGGAAGGTGCTACCGAATTTTCAAATTGGTCGGGCTGTATTAAAGACTGTCTTGGAGGTTATTGTTACCCACACCGCCAGCCTGGCTCTCTTGGTGGAACCTAAAGTAATTCACTTACCCACAATCCATTTAGAGATGAGGATCTGCGTGTCTCTGAGGCATGCTCTGTCAGCGGGAAATACTGTACGCCCCACAGCCTTATCTTAGCTTATAAGTCACTCTCTGCTTTAGACCACAGTCAGGCTGTGCACCGCTGCGTTTCAACAAACAACACTTGTTTTTCAAGCTTGAGCTTGTACACTTGATAAAAGCCTATGTTTCAGGTGCATATTTTCTCCCCTTGTGACTTCATGTGTATATCTTTCTAAATGTCTCTCGCGCTGTGTGTGTGTTGCTGCGGGCGTACGCCGTTCAGCACTGCACTTAGATGTAGCGCGTGACTATCAATTGAGAATGCCTCGGTGCAGATTAGGCCATGTTCATATCTTTCTCTCCACATAATGAAAGATAAAATGATTACCATGTATCTGTCTCTTTATTAGCCTTTAAATGCCACTCAGCTATCTGCCAGCAAAGCGCAGAGTGGGGCTAATCGCTTGTGTCATTCACTGAGATGTGGTAGCACTGTGGCCTATGTAACCCAGCATGATCAGACAGATATGAGGACCAGCAAAGGTCAGAGGAGAGTAGAGAGGAGATGAGCTGGAGAGATTTGTATCCATCAGGCAGAGCTGTGGACCCTTTCATTTCTCGCCTGTCCTCTTAGAGCTTCAGTTCTGCTCTCTCTAAGTCTGCCATCAGAGGAATCTTTAATTCAGGCGCTCATTTGATCTCCAAATCAGAAGGCATTTATTATCAGGGCTGACGAAAAGCTAAACTGGCAGCTTATAAAAGGCCATCAATAGAAACTATAGATGCCACCTTCCACACTTCCAACCCAGGCAGTGATTACTTAATTATGACCACTTTGGTTTGCAGTCAGAACACGTCAGGACTGGGATAAGACGAGCTAGAGGCAACAGCGTGGCTGACAATCAGAATCCCTTCTTATTTGCCTCTGTCACAGCTGTTCTGTTCTTGCCCTCAGGTGTTTTGGAGAGATGCAGGTAGAGTCAGTCCCTTTCCTCACTGAACACACACACTGTAGATTACAGTGTAGTCCACTACACATACACATGCGGCCACACGATGGCCCTGTGGTGACCTGCCATCTGACGGCAGCAGATGGTGTAGGCCAGGCACCAGATTAGAGCATCCGTCTTTACGCCTATGACCTCATTCCATCGTGCGTGGCGCAGGACCTTGGCCAAATGAAGCCATATTAGCTGATTTGAGGAAAGCACGCTAGCACGGTGCTTTCTGCAGGGGGCTCAGAGACAGATGAGGGGTATTACCAGAGTAGCGCTCTTACGGCTGTTTGGCCAGAGTGGCAGCGGAGTAATGCTTGGGTGACCAGCGCTGTTTAGACACTAATGGAATGCCATTAATTCTGTGAGAGCAGCGGAATTTCTGAAAATGTGGCTAGCAAGCATATACACAGTGTTATGTACACTAATGATAGATACCTCAGTAGGGGACCCCACACCTCATGTGCTGAATAAAACCAGAGCCCTAATGTCAAATAAAATACTTGATATAATGTATACACTATTATTCCAAAGCCATAGTAATAATTTATTTTATTCAAAAACAGTGTATACAGTGTAGCTTGAAAAACTGAAGTATTTTAAGATTTTATTTAGCATTTCAGATTATTTGGAAACAGTACAGTTTAAATGATAAATAATTTCATATAATTTCTAATTTATAATAGATCATTCTGCCTAGAGATTTATTTGAGGCATTCTGGAGGTTAATTTTAGTAGAACTCCATTTGCAGTGTTTTACAGCTTTCTGAATTATTATAGATTCATCTTCAGTTCTGTTCAACATTTTCAACACATCCAAGATCTCCATTTTTTTCACTGCTTTTTACAATAGTTGAAATCTCTGAAGTTGTAAAATACTTGTATCAGAATCATTTTACTTGCAATAAAAGTGGTTTTATATTGATTAAAAACATCTTAGCAGTGATTATAAACTTTTGAAATGTAGATTAAGCATGTATTAGAAATCATTGTGCTGTTCATGGGGTAATCTTTAATCATTACATTGCCTCACTGTAAAAAAAAAATAAAAAAAGTCAGGTCCATTTAAACGGCAGCTTCAGTTATCTTTCTAATAAAAGCTGTGAAATAAGTCACCATATAACTGTGTTGGCAACCATAACCTGCTGTTAACACGTACAAAATGCAGCAGCATGGATTCAAACAAAAACAAAAAAGAGAGCTCAGATCACCCTGTATAGAAAGAATTTCGCTAGCTGCCTATGTCTTTCAGAATGGATTTTGAAGTTCTGCAGATACTGGCCTTCAGCAAATACCTTCTGTAAAATACAGAAATGTGAAACTCTCAGTTATTATGCTTCTAAACTGTGGAACTCATTTCTACCTTTTATTAGACAGTCAAACTCAGTGCTCACTTTTCAGAAATGTTTGATATCTCTTAAATTTAGCTTTTAATTACATTTCTACATATTTTCAGATCTTTTTATGTGATCTGTGTCATTGCTTTATATGATTTTAATGTAATACTCATAACTTTTATCCATTATTATTTTATTACTGTTAAACTTTATCACCAGTCTGTAAAGGACTTTGTGCTGCCACTGTTACAAAATATAGTTGATATTATTATTATTATTATTATTATTATTATTATTATCAGAAATTAGTTTATTGCAAGTCCTATAGATAAAAATGCTATTAGCTTAACATCTGTAGGTTTGGCCACTTTGTGTGATGCACAGCCTCTCATTATTGTGTTTGTCATTCTGATCCATGCAGACTCTGCTGTGTGTGCAGCTCAGAGGGGATTCAGAAAGATTACTGCTCTTGCTCTCATGGGACTTTTGCGCTGTCGTCTGTGTGTTTGTTTTTGTCAGAAAATAAACACAGCTACTCAGCTTGAAAAGATCAGCAGAGGCATCCCGAGCCAATTAGATGATTTGCCTCATGCTGTCCAAATATCTGCAGAAAAGTCATTTGTCATTAGCATGGGGTATTTATTACAGTGCCTTAGTACAGAGTGGTCAGATGAGGCAGTGACAGGGGCTTTGAAGAACACAGTGTGCTGCGAATGTGTGGTCTCCAGTATGGACACACTCTGCAAATGGAAATTAGAGCCCAGCATCAGAGCTGGTAGACATGCCGGCTGAGTGTGCACTGATATGAATGCAAATAGGTGGAAAAGTGTAGGACAGGAGGGAGAAATCAGACCACAACTGTTTTCAGCTCCTTTCAATACCTGTAATTCTGCCAAGGCCTTAAATTTGTCCCCTGATTGCATGTATACTCCATCCAAGATTCCTGGCATGTTTCACCCTTGTTTGTGAATAGTGATTTTAAGCAATATGTAATTCAGCGTGAAACGTAGAAAGCAAATTTGTATTTGTTTGTGTCTGTTAAACTGCATATACGGGACATTTCATTTCTCTTTACACCTGTCAGTATATGCAGAATTGATGGGAAGACTTTACAATCTAAATTTCTCTTCCCTTCCTCACACTCTTCAAACACTGGACTTTTCACTGAGTCTGTAGAGAAATCTTCCGACACACACACACACACACACAACACACACTTAGACACAGTAAGACTTTATAGTGACACATTTTCAAAAGCTAACATCTCCAGGGCATTGAAATAAAAAGCATGAGAAGAAGTATAAGAACATCCGAATACTCAAGGTGAATGCTCACACATGCACACTCAATGACGCTCAATTTTTTCATCTGATTTGCTCCATCATAACATTAACCCCCACTTGACCATAGTTTTATTATTGTGTTATTAAAGGGAACAGATCTTATATTTTTTCTTGAATTGTATTGTTTTCCCTTGAAGTCCATTTATAACCAATGATTTAAGTTTTTTCTCTCCCTGTTTGTGTAATTGTGCCCTTAAAGTTCCTTTCATACATGCACTTTTACCTGGGAACGTAACAGTAATTTAACAGGAAGGGGTTAAATGTGAACAGAATCAAAATCTCCATAATGTTAACACTGCAGTTGAGACATTACCAGGAAAAATACAGTGATTACAGCTAGCAAAGCAAGCAGGTAAAGTTTCAGAGAAAAAGTTGGGACTATATTTTTCTACATGAAAGAGCCATTAGATATTCATGCTGCAAATGTCGCCTCCTATTGACCTGGATTTTTGTGGCATATATGAACATGTGTATCCCGGTAAAATACCATGTAAGTGCTGCATATTTGAATGATGTAAAGTCTGAACATAACTGTTAAAATATCCTGATAAAGTCCCAGGTTTTAAGTATAAAAGGGGATTAAGATATACACCCACAAACCACTTCATTAACTACATCTCCTACATATATGCACTCATTGTTCTCCACTTACCATGTAGGTGCACTTTGCACTGCATACTTTGTTAGCCCCCTTTCACCCTGTTCTTCAATGGTCAGGACCCCATAGGACCACCACAGAGTATGTATTATTTGGGTGGTGGATCACTGTCAGCACTGCAGTGACACTGACGTGTTGGTGGTGTGTTAGTGTGTGTCGTGCTGGTGTGAGTGGATCAGACACAGCAATGCTTCTGCAGTTTTTAAACACCTCCGTGTCACTGCTGGACTGAGAATTGTCCACCAGCCAAAAATGTCCAGCCAACAGCATCCTGTGGGCAGTGTCCTGTGACCACTGATGAAGGACTAGAGGTTGACCAACACAATCTCTGCAGCAACAGATGAGCTATCGCTCTGACTTTATATCTACACGGTGGATTAACAAGGTCGGTGTGCCTAATAGAGTGGATAGTAAGTGGATACAGTGAGTTCTGCTTTGATTGGCTGCCCTGTAGCTTGTTCAAAAAGCAGACTGGCCTGAAACACTCCTTATAACTTCCACATGAAAGGGTGGAGCTAAACTGCTCTAGGCTAAATAGATAGATATATGTTAATAAGTTGTTTTTTGTGGCATCACAAACGTAATGAATTCAAAATGCTTTTTGCTTTTGCACCTTAATGTGCCAAATATGGACCATATGGACCAGTGAATGAACTTGGGGAACTTTAAAAATGTGTACATACTTAATCAAACTTTTATCAAAAATACTATACTAATCTCTCTGTACTACTAACTACTATAAATTAGTGCATGTTTTTTTCTTGTAAAAACTGCTATCAGTTATTAACGACTATGAAACTAATATGTACATTATGTAATTGTAAGATTCAAGAGATGAAGTGGGGGCCTATTTACAAGTTTTCATGGGGTTAAGAAACTAATTAGACTCTAATGATATCCTACATTAGGTAGAGATGGCAGGTGTGATGAGTCTGCAGTTAGTCCTAATTAAAAGCAGATAGAAGCCTCTCGGCAGGTCCAGGGGTCAGGCTTTAAACACACCACACTGTCCAAACACCACTCAGCACCTTCACACATCTGCAAAACTGTAAGTGTCAAACCCAACCAAGACAAATGCATGACATAACAAACACACGACAATTAGAAGCAGGTGTATCCTGCAGGGCCCGCATGCTCCAGTTATCTGGGCTTAATTTGGACTGTGAGTTTGACTTCAGTCTCAACAGGACACAATTCATTTAAACATTAGTGATCAATCCATTTATTCAGCGCTGCTCTAAGCTATAAAACACATCTCACTGAACAAGTGCTGTATTGTCCTCCCTAAAGGGAAGCTACAGGAACAGCCGACTAGTCTTCTGCTATTGTAATAGACATGAATGGTTATATATAGGCCAGCATTTCAGAGCGACAGGCTTTTCCCTCTCATTCACAATAGTAACAATGTATTCCAGTCTGAATGTGTGTGAAATGGACTAATTAAATTTGTGCATAATAATGAAAATTCTAATTATACATTTTATTAACGGGGCACTTCAGACACAAAATGCATTTCGGTCCACATGTTTTAGACGTTAATAATGCATATCTAGCTCTCCAGTGTGGTTCATTTCACTCAAAGAAGCTCTGTTGATCTCAGCATGGTTTTTTGTTGTTAGGTTTTTTTTGGGAGGGGTTTTGGGAAGGGGGGTGGTTGGGGAGGACATGATGCTGTAAGTATAATCTTCATGGGTCCTGGGCTAAATGTAAGTGGGTCGTATTGGAGCAGTGTGTGCTGGGGTAATTGGGACGCCTCTCTCAAGTCGAGAAGCAGAAGTCATTACCATGCATTTTAGGCTGGTAACACATTTCAGCGAGGCAGGGAGAGGGGTTACAGCAACCTGTGATAAATATCACAGAGAAATGTGTCCATGTGCGTGCGTCTGCATCTGTGTCTGTTCGTATGCATGCGCGTGTTGTTGTGTTCTGATACTGTCTCTGTATAATGAGCCTAAGGAATGTCTGAGTGCTGAGGTTTTGAGGTGCTTCTGTGCTAGAGATTGATGATGCATCTCCTCCTCTCATTTTTCTCTCTCCTGTGCGCTAAAGCAGATTTGATGGAGCCTGCAGGGTTCAGGGGAGCCCATACACAGCACACAAACACCAAAATATCGGCCGTCCTAATGAGCATAGTTCCTCCTCTCAGACAGACAGATGTCTTTTATCATTAGTCTTCACTATCATTGTTAGCTCCATCATTGTCTGAAGTACTTTTAAATGGTCCATATCATACATTTTTCTGCTTTTTATATTTCCCTCTGAGATCTACTTATAACCTTTGGATGGTTTTATGAACGAAGAGCGTTCATGTTTATGAACATAAAAAGCAAAGTCTGTTTTCTGTGATATGAGCTCCTTTAATGAAGGCCTCATTATGTACTATGAGCACTATAACTGCTTTTAATTCAAATACTACACTTTGACTTCTTTTAATTAAGATTTCGGATTGTTTTTTCATACCAAAACTAAGCATTTTTAATGCCTGTGATTAATGGAGATGTTAAAGATGTAAGAACAGATTAAAGCTGATGGCATATCTAATTCACTGCTTAGTCCAGGAGTCTATCTCGAAAAGAATCTTCTAAAGACATTAATTTTAAGCTATGCCACTTCCCCTGAAATAACTCTAGCAAGGCCAACATTTTTACACTGCCATTTCCTACTGTAATCACCCCCCATCTTTAAGCTAAGTGCCTTCCATCCTCCATGGTAGTTTTATAGCTGTGAGGCAGCAACCATCAAGCAGCTAATGTACGCCTGCACATCTCATTAGGACTTCTGATGAAATATTTATCTCCCCCGATCATGTCATGTCACAGTGAAGTGGAAAACGATACCAATGCCAGAGGAAAAACATATGAAGATAATCATACATTCCCTGTCTATATCCTCCCCAGCACTTGTGCCCTACTTTAGAGCTACGTGCTTGCTGAGCCAATCCATCACTTGCTTGGCTAATGACATTCATTTGATATAGCGGTCAAGAGGGGATCCAGCTTACCGAGATGCATTAGAGTGAGGATGCCAAAGTATTTCACCGCAAGGGTTTATATATCTTTCTAAAAGTTCATATGTCAAATCTGTCTGTCAGAGATCTTTTCTCTTTAGTGCTAATTGTTGATACATGGGTGGTTGGTTTAATTCAGGCCTTACTGCTGCTTTTCTCAGGTCAGTGAAAATGCCAAGAAGGACCTGAAAGATGGCCTTGCCCTCTACTACTCGGACAACAACATTGGCCTGAGGAACGCTTGGAACATCATCCAAGCTGAGGTGCGTATACACTTCAGTAATGCATCATCTCTCCAACCAAATCATATTGACGTACACTATATATTTGTGGCTGATATATTATTTGCTGTATTATTTAATTATTATTGTCAGCCCAATATCAGTCACAGCTGATAATTGCAACCACTAAGTTAGCTCACATGCACACTGACGCATGTGTAGACACCAGTGTTGGCCATTTATTCTCTTTACTGGATCACATGGATAGCATAGTGGATAACAAACACCCCCTTCTGTTCAAAAGTCCCTGTCAAGGCTGAAACTCCACTGCCATACCAATAAGAGTCCTTTGTCAAGACTTCTAGAGTTACATCCACTTACCATGGCCCTGGATAAGCATGTTAAAATATTTAAATGAAACAATGTAAGTATTTGCAATAATTGTCATGTCTGATTTTGCTATTTCATGGCTACATGAAATTAATGAGTAATCTTTTTTAATCTGTCACACATTTCATATATTATAGTATTTTATCAGTATCAGTCACAGCAAGTTGATAATCAGATATCGTTATCAGTCCACAAATTCTATATCGGTGCATCCTTAAATCACATGCTACTTTTATACTTTATACATTTTTTCTTTTGACTTTGATATACAAGCCTGAAGTAGATTTTGAGGCCAAAGCACTTGCAAGTGAGAAATTGTATGCTTGAATTACAAAAGCCATTACTTTAGATTTTTTTATAGAAAATGAATGACCCTGGCTAGCCATCAAAATGTACTTCAGAAGTCTCACAGTGAGTCTATAGAAGTAGTGTTGGACTGCAGGCTTCCTGTGGTCTTCTTACTTCCTTTCTTCTCTCTCTCCCTCTCTCTCTCTCTCTCTCTTCTGCTGTTTTATGTTGACTTCTCCTGTGTCTCCTCTCTCTGCATGGTGTAGTGGAAGTGCTGTGGTGTGACAGGTTACACAGACTGGCATGAGGCTCTAAAGGAGAAGGTGGTACCGGACCGCTGCTGTCAGGAGCATTATCAGGACTGCGGCCGTAATGTCACCAATGAGTTCTGGAAGCGGGTGAGTGGACGCAACTGCAGGGCAGTAGTGCTAATGTCGGCACAAAACATGGGTTATTTGTTGTGCTGCACAGAACAGCTTTATATTTTGGGGAAAAACATTCTTAATTGGTTTCAGTAGGATGATCACGCTGGAAACTAGATGGTCTATTAAATCAGAGATTGTATCAGTACATGGTTTTCTTACTTTTTCATGAACAGCAGGAACAAATAAGTTGGAAAATCTGTCTGTTCATTAATGGTATCAGGAGGCGTCAGAAGAACACATTTACATTTAGAGCATTTGGTAGATGCTGTTATCCAGAGCAATATACAGATGTGTTTATTTGGAAAACGTGTCTTTGCTAGTGCAAAAAAGTCTGAGGACATCTAAGCTTAGTCACTTCCAGATGCAGGAGGTACTCTTTGTACAGCAAAGGTTTGGGTACGCCTGGTCAAATGACTTTTTTTTTTTACTTTCTAAGTGAAAATAAGTTAATAATAATAACACATCCTCTATCGAGAACACACATCTGCACATTTTAATGCACGGTTAGTGTTTGATGAATTGAATATATTGGGGAAAAATATAACATGTTAACAGTGCAGTAGTTGATTTTTATATGTTAAATGAAGCAGATACATTGTGCAATAAAAACAGAAGAAAAACGCCATATTTAAGTGTAGAAAATCACATAGAAAATCAACAAAACATGTCATATGGCCAGGGTTCAAACTTATGCCTATGAGACAAATACTTCAACTCAAACAAGGCGGGCCTTGTGATGGATACCCATCATATGAGACAGAAGACAGATTACGTTCAAAGTGCAATGGATGTCTAAAGCTCTGTGAAGAAATCTGGAGTGAATGCTATGTACATAAAGGATGAAGGAGCCTTACTCTACTCAATGCATGAATGATGTCCCAAAGTTTGTTTGCATTTAGCAGAAAGAGAAGGATTTAGAGTGGAGTTCTGATGATGGTTTGTGATCCACTGTTGAAGCAGGTTGCTCCCAGAATCCTAATCAGGTACTATGTTTAAGATTGCAGAGATTCTGTACTGTGAGATTACAGTTCAGCTGATGTTTTCCCAGCTTTTCTCCAGAGGATCAACGGTAGCTTTTTGATTTTTCATCCTGTTTGAAAAAGCAGACATAGGAATGGAATGGGTTAAGATAGGATGAAGGCACCAGCAGACCAGTGGAGAAATGTGGTGCTGAATTTAAATTTTTGTCTCATTTAGATGAAACATTAGTGTTGGTTTAATGACTAGTTCCAAAGCCTGCAGTGTGTGTATGTGCCATATGTGATTTATTCATTCCTCAACACTTACACCTTAGCAAGTGTTATGGTCATAGAAAGGGCAAGAAGTAAGAATAAATTCAGTTTATTTCACTTTTTCCTGGCCTTGAGCATTTCTTATTAATGAATGAAATGAGTGACAAGCAGAGATTTGGAAAACTCCCCTTTCAAGTTGGAGAGGCTCTGAACGCTAACTGCTTTTTAATGCCTTCCTCTATAGACAGAAACAGCAATGTTTGTGTGTGTGTGCTTGGAGATATTTCAGGATACCATACACTGTCTCTGCTGGGACTTGACTGCTCTGACAATGAACTGTGCACACTGTATCTAGTGTGAGTGAACCATCTGAGTGAAAGCTGTATTTTCCTTGGCTATTGTTTGTCTCTGTCCATCACGAGTCAGTATTTCATATCTCACACTCATTTCGTATTCATGTTGTATCTCAGCTGCGGTGGTCTGTCGCCAGTTACTCACAGTCAGATCAGATGGAAAGGAGTCTATAGAGCTCATTCAGCAGCCTCTTCATACTCTGAGCTCTCAGGCTGGGACTTAAATTATTCAACTCTCATATACACATGTGCTATAGGAGCTCATACAGAGCCAAAGCGGAAATGTGTATTTACCACACGTGTGTGCAAAAGTTTGGACACCTCCAGTACAATTGCACGTTTAGTTGATTTTCTAAGTGAATAATAAGGTTACGAATTTACATGGAAAATATGTTAAATTCAGTTTAATGTGTTCTCTGCAGAGGATGTGTTAACTTATTTTCACTTAGAAATACACAACATGTAATTTGGCCAGGGTGCCAAAACTTTTGCATACAATCGTACATGTTTTCATTGATGATAATATAAGGAGTGTCATGGTATGTTTGGTCAGTTTTCTTTGAGTTAAAGACTTTAAATAATCACTAGTTGAGTTACAAAGCTATGACAAGGTTGTCTAATCAAGTTCACATTTTCTGTTATTCTAGCATCATTTCCTTTTTGTTGGAGCTGCTCGGTCTGCTCATTTTCAGCTTTGTGTGTGTGCTTTTCTATACGGAGTATGTTTTAAGACTCTTATCCATAGAACACCCACAAACTTGTGCTTTTGTAGTAACTGCTGAAAGGTTGGACAAGCTATACAGAATGTTATTAGCAAAAATCGCATTCAGTCTAATACGAAACTGTACCACACTTTGCTTAGTCAGCACACAATGTTGAGTTTTCAATTTAAAATGCTACATTACCAAGCTGACCTATGTTGTTGTAGCTAATCAAAACAATGCAGTTGAAAGCAACAAATAGGAATAATGTAAGAATATGTGATGAAAAAAACAAAGTATATAAAGTAAATAAAGTATATCTGTTTTATTATAACAATGTAACTTGTCGTATATATAAAATAAAGAGCCGATCATTTGACATTAAACCCCTGAAATGACCAGGCGGGTCCAAACCTTTAATACACAGTTCCATAAGGTAAGAGTTACTCAGCCATGTATTTACTGAATAATAAGCCTTGGAAGTATACTTCAAACATTGCCGGAATTAAACTAAATGCTCTTTTAGGTGAACTTTGGAAGCCAACTCGCATCGCATTTAATTTATTTATTCATTTAATCTTTTTTGTCAGGCTTATTTTAGGATCAGTCCCTGTTGAAAATCATCCAGTGAAACTATGTATCAACATCTGACTTATTCAAGTTTTTCTACATAACAAATATTTTCTTATTATTTCATTTTAAATATGCTGTAGGAATTGATAAAGCCAGGATTTTAAGGGGTTAATAATGCACTGTAATTTTTGATAATTTGGCCAAAACTCAGTTGTGCGATACAGTTTCTCATTATGTTTAATGGGATTTTTTTTGCCAGTGTTCTGTAAAGCTTCTCCAACCTGGCAACAGCTGCTATGAAAGAATGCATTTGCAGACGGAGCATGGACAGGGCAATTATGTGTTTATTCCAAAAGTAAATATTATGTTTGTTAATTTTTCTGCAGGGTTGCTTTGAGAAGGTGGAGGAGTGGCTGGACGATAACAAGCACCTGCTCGGCACTATTGGCATGTGCATCTTGGTTGTCCAGGTAATATTTGTGTGTGTGTGCGTGTGTGTTGGCCTCCGTTCCTGCATGTGCGGGTTGGAGGTAATGAGCTTTGCTTGGTGCCCGCTGTCTAACCCTGCTGTGCTGAAATATTGACGTCTGTTTGAGCAGCAGTAAGCACAGTCAGCTGAAAACAGACCGTGTGCCTGTGTGTGTCTCCAGAGTGTGGATAGTCTTGGACAGGTTTTCATATCCATGCTATGGGGGCATCAGCTGGTGCACATGTGTATGTGTCTCTGTGTGTGTGTGTCGTTTGGAAGCTCTCATTAAAAGCTAATAGTGTAGGAGGTGATGGGAGTCACAGGAGGTGCTGAGCCTTAGTTGCGTCTCTGTGCGCTGCTGTTAGGCATACATCTGCCTAAATCCTTCACTTCAGAGAGCATTACATGCCAGAGACTCTGTAACAACATCTTAGCAGGCACTACAAACTGGCACTCTAGGAAACTCAACTTTTTGACATCTCGGTAGTACTTTACTAGACAGCATTTCACTGCTCTGGGTTGAGTAGAATGAGTGAACTCCTGTTCCCCAAAAATATTCAGTGTACATAGTCTTCAAAAAAATCTCTGTTACAGAGGAATATTAGAGTGGCCTCAATTGAGAATGAGCATATTTCACTGTTTCTCTATTTTTATGGAAGCAAAGGCCAGTCAGAGCTCCTGGAGTTATATAGCACCGTGCAAAAGTCAGAGACCTTCATTGTATAATTTTCAGTCAAAACTTCAGAAAAAAAATGTAAATTATTTTTTAGCATCAGAAAAAAGCAGAAAACACATTTAACAAAAAATAGCATTCTTTTCAGAAGGCTTGATATTTTTTCATAAGTCCAAAGTTCAGTCTAAGACGTTGGTTGCATTTTCTGCCTCTCATAGTCCAGGCATTCTCAAACACATTCAGTGATGTTGAGGTCTGGGCTCTGTGGTTTCTAGTCCATTATTCTCCGAACACCAGCAGCTTCTTTTTTTGTTTTGTTATTGTTTTGTCCATTTCCTTTTCTAAGAATTAGCTTCTTGGCAGCTACACATCCTTTCAGAGCTATAGCACTGAGTTTTCTTCTCACAGTGGAAGGATGGACAGAAACACTTGTGTTTTATTTTCAGATCTGAAGCAAGAGTGGAGCTTGATTTTCTCCTCTCTCAAAGATGAAAACTATAAGTACTGTTTATCTGATGGTGATCTCACAGTTGATAGGAGTTCCATTTTCTCTTTATCTTTCAGTAGTTTTAAAATCTACTTTTGGAATCTCCTGTTTTTTCACTTGACTTCCCCTTCGTCATACAAGTGGATTCTCTAATCACTTCAGAAAAATGAGTAACTTAAAGGCTGTTTTGACTGTAAATTTAAAAAAAAAAAATGAAGAAAGTGGTCACTGACTTCTGCACAGCACTGTGGACGGCAGGACTGGTCATATCTGTGGCACTGAATGTCAGTGTTGGAATTTTGATCAAATGCATACAAAATAATCCCCAAGACACACAAAGCCTACATCCTATTCATGCAATGAAAACTCAGACCCTGCTCTGCCCCCTTTAAGATAATGGCTACTGGAGGCAGACTGCAGACTCTGTTTGATGTGGGTATCCAGGTCGGCCTGAAATGGAAACTTCAAAGAGAACGCATATTTACAGTGCATCTCAATTTACCTCATTGACATAATGTTTCTATGCACCACACATTACTTCATCTGGGGATGCGGAAATAGCTCGCCTTGCCCTCAAACCACCAACGTGAAGCAAGGCCAATTTCCTCTGGTCTGAGTGAGATAAGGAATGTTTTTAAACCTGTGTTTCAGTGCTGTGTTTATCTACCATTTTTATTAAACTTGTAGCAGAGCTAGTTTTCAAGCAGCATATTCTGCATATCACCACCCTCATGAGAAAACCTAAACCGTTTCCAAAACCCAAAATGGTACACTCTTAAAAGTAAAGATGTCAACAAGGGTTCTGTAGAGAGATACCATAGAAGAACTGCTTTTGGTTCCCTAAAAACATTTCAATTGTTGGTTCTTCAAAGAATTATTTTTAGGAATAAGTCTAAAGAACTTCCATAAAATGTGAAGATTCTATACCAGTTAAAGGTTTTATTCGTATTACTCATCCTGAATTTCTCTGTGTTGTTTCACAGCTCCTGGGCATGGCCTTCTCCATGACACTGTTCCATCAGATCCACAGAACAGGGAAGAAGTATGATGCCTAGCTGGGCTGAAGTACAGAGGGGCGTTCCACTGCATTATTATGGGACTGAATTTGGAGGCCCCTCTAAATCCCCTACATACCACCATTGGCCAAGTCCTAACCTTATTCCCTGTTCTTCCCCAACCACTCTGTACAGACATCAGCCATGCGTCCCTTCTCTTCTCTTCTTTCCCGACACCACTCATCTGCCAAAGAGAAAGAGGGACAGAGAGGAAGAGGAGTTCAGACTGTTTGGTTTGAAAACTCTGGGGTGGTTGTCTCCCTCTTCAGCTCCTTTAGAACCTTTATTTTCTACGCTTGGACTAACTAACGTTTGCAGGAAAGGAGAATATTTTGACAATAAAACTGCATTGCTTTACTAATGCATAATTCCCACCCTGCAAAGCAAGGACAAGACATAGAAGACTGATAGCCATGCCATCCTCTGGGTGGGGTGCATTTTAAGTGTTGTTCAAATGTTAAAATCCCCTCAACAATGAAAATGACAAAAGGTTCCATCTTAGCATGCTGCAGTTTTCTACTCGGTGGAAACCTTTGTCATTTAAGGCTGTTTGTTTGTTTGTTTGTTTGTTTTTGCCCCTAGTATTTTAATTTTCATCTTAACACACCTCTGAAGGTTGTCCTGAGTCAGGAGAAAGCTGAGTAGGTCTGTGGGTTGTAGTACAGGGTCAGACAGTTCTAACTTGCTCTAACTGAAATCTGTCTGTGCTCATATGTTCAGATTTGTGATGGGCGGTTTGAGAAGGGATGCCAACGGGTTGGAAATTTCAAGCAAGAAATGAGACTGATGTTAAGATAAAGAAGGATAGACAGCTGTGGATATTTCAAGCCATTTTTCAGTATGTTTGATCACCCTGCTTTGCATAGAACTCAAACAATATCAGTCAAATAAGTAACGTCATATTTCCCTGTCTAAATTCAGATAAACACAATATGCTCAGTAACAATACTTCCATATACAGTGTGTTTTAGAGCCAGTGATGAACAGTTTCAGAGTCCTGTTGTGGCAGTAATGGACAGAAAGCATGTGGAGCAAGCTGAGGTTTTGAAGAGAGGCTAAAGAGTAAATCAGGGAGTGTCCAGTTCTGATTATGGAGAGTACGGTTTGGTGATCTGGTGAGTTGTTTAGTTTAAGCTAGACTGAAGCTGGACACCCCTGGGGTACACCATGTGTGCCATGCTACCTCCCTAAGGGCAGTTTCACAAGGACATGGTATCTGTCAAAAAGGCTTTGACATGCATTGCTGATTTGTTGTATGTTTGTGGGCAGTAGGGGTTGCATAGACTGAATCCACTGGGCAGCGCTGTGGACAAGTCAGTTATTTAAAAAAACTGCAGTGAACAAGCTGGAGGAGAGAACAGTTTTGAGACCAGGTAGGTTTTGAGAATGCCAAACATGCCAAACATCCAGTCACAGACCGCTTAGCGTAATATGTACAACGAAAACAAACTTGGGGTACCAACGGAAAACGTACCTCGTTCACTTGCTACGTACACTTTCAAACACAATTTAAGAACAATGTTAAAAATTGAATGCCATGGGAATGTTTCCTAGTTGAGCGACTAGGCCTGTATCTCACTCTGAAAGGCTTATTGGTAAACAGATGCATCTGCTTGCTACCAGCATTTAGCTTGAAAGAACAGTAATTTCCCATTGGGTAGTGCATGGAAAACAGTTTAAAGTAAGGGGTGAGTTTCTGAGAGCTCTGGTGATTTTAGTGCACAAGACATAGAAGACTGTTAACAAGAGACAGTCTGAGTACTTCCAAAACTTGGTGAAGTACTACAAAACTCTTCTGCAGTGCAAATCTCACACCTTGATCTGCAGGATAAGATTTGCCACAATAACCAACCCCTGTTAGCAAGCTAACAGTAACAAACAAAATACTTCTCACAGACATCTGGAAGAACAGTCATGCCAACCCTTAGTGGGCAGAGGTTGGTGTTTCCTCCCATGTGACTGATTGATATATACAGGAAATCCATGGATGGTTGAAAGTGAAGAACTTGATGTTCTACTGTGAATGTTCTTCTTCACAGAAGGAATCCCTGTGAGCTGTCATAGATCTTTAAAATTGGATTGTACAGCTCTTAATGTGAGCTGATAGTGATTAGTTTCTCCTCAACATCAACAAGACTCTCTCTGTTTGGCTGACACATGGTTACATGTTCTGTGAGGAACACCGTGCTCAGCGCTACCCACTGAGCACAGTGGCACAGTGGGTAGCGCTGTCGTCTCAGCTCAAGAAGGGTCCTTTCTGTGTGGTGTGCATGTTCTCCCCTTGTCTGTGTGGGTTTCCTCCCACAGTCCAAAGACATGCAGTCAGTCCAACTGGACATGGTAAATGCCCCTAGAAGTGAGTGTGTGTGTGTCTGTCTGTCTGTCTGTCTGCCCTGCCCTACCTGTCTAGGTTGTTTCCTGCCTTTCACCCATTGACCGCTGGGATAGGCTCCAGCTCCCCCCCGCGACCCAGAAGGATAAGCGGCTTAGAAAATGTGTGTGTGTTCTGTGAGGCAATAGAGCAGTATGATTTTGAGCATTTATATTAGGAACTCAGTATATTAATGCATTGCTATCATTGAAATCTGTGGCAAGAGGTGCATTTTTGACTGATACCAAAATGTCCTTATGGGAGTCAACAGTAAACTCGTGAACAGAGACACTGAAGTTAAAGCAGTCTCCTCCACAAAAAGAGCTTCCAGACATTAAGCCAGAGCTTGGCTCCAGACGGCTCCAGCATCATTGATTGTCTGAGTGTTAGAGTCTGCATTCTTTGTTTCTGCGCATCTCAGCTGATCAGCCAGTGTTTCTGTTCACTTGATTCATCTTTTCATTATTTTTCTTGCATGAAGGCTCGAATGTGCCACAGAGGTTACGGCAGTTTGCATTTTCAACTGACATTCCTGTTAGGTGAGCTGATTTTGAATCTGTACCTCTAGTTCAGATCCTGGTGTCCTGGTGTCCCTTCTGTCATCTCTCCCTGCCTCCAGCTCAGAGGGGAGTGGAAGGATCCAGATCAAAGGCAATGCTTTTCCGAGATGATGGCAAACGAGGCCTTAGAGTGAAAGGCCTTTTACCAGCTCAAAGTTTTGTGGGGTTTAATTGCATGCTGTAGAACACGAATTACTTTGTCCTGGCTGCAATTGCTGTCAGACATCCTGGCGAGAGCGAGAGGGAGGGGTCATCATGCTGTCTCATATCAAACCTGGCACTCGGACAGCCGTGACCTTCTCCCCAGGTGTTAGGCTGGGGATTAGCGTGTGCTGTGCTGATGTTACACCACACGTCCAATCAGGTATTGACTGAGACAGTTTTTTTTTTGCTGTTTACTGTAGTTGGGGAAATTGGTTTTAAACAATCAGGGACCAGAGGTGGTCAGCAGTTCAGATTTTCATCCTAGATACACAGAGAATTGGAGAAGAGTTGTATTCTGCTTTGGATGAGCGTAAGAACGCTGTCACTGTGCATTGCTGCTATGAGAGACGTCGTTGAGGTTCTTAAGAGTGAGAAGACGTGAAGAGAAAGATTAACAGCTAAGAAACACTGCAGACTCTACCACAATAACCCTTTGCTTGCTAACACCTGGGGATGTCTGAATGCTGGGGAATGTTTGGAACTGGTGTGGAGCTGAAGGGCAACAAGCATACTATTATAGACAAGCAGTGACTGAACACAGTGGGTAAATAAATATGTTTTTTTTTTTCATTGTCTTCTTTTTTGTTATTCTTTTTTTTTGCATGGAAAAATTGTTCCATCAAGCAAAACTACTAAAGCAAAACAGTGGAAACTGGTGATACAGGTGATGCGGGGTTACTTTGTGGTTTTGCTGCATAATTACAGTACATTTTAATATCCTTTAAATAGAGGAACAGTGCTGTCCCCTGCTCTCATAATCTTGATTTGTGCAAGAATTGGGTAATTTCTTAAAAAAAACATCTGCTGTAACCCTCGGTTTTCCACCCAATTGTGTAATGCTTAACCCGCTGTCCCTTGCAGGGCCGTCGTCTTATAAACGCATATTAAGCTGCCGTTGTATTGTTGGCGTGAATGGATTTTGGAAGAAATCACAGAAATTACCAACAGCAAAACTGAAAAATAATATAAATCTGCTGACAGCATTGTTTACCATAGGAGGTTTTCATTTTCTGCATAATTGTATCTGTTTTTGTTTCACACTGCATTTATTCAATCTCAAATTAGGTGGTTCTTGCTTCATATCATCTCAAATACACCCAGCAGATGTGAAATAAGTGCATATTTTTCATAACCTCAAGTGTTGCTCTCAAGTATTAGAAAGGTTGTCTGTAATATCTAACTGCACAGGTGGGCGGACAACAAAATGCCTGTTACAAGGGTTACATAATCTAATTGTTGCATTCTTATTCTTTTTATTTTGTATATTGGTCGTCATTTTTGTCTGTTTTTATTCCACAGGCTGTTTTACTTATTTTATTGTTTTATTTCACTTCCTGTATTGGCTTTCTTTAAAGGTCAGCTCAGCAACATGTGACGAGAGTTAGCATAACAGAACTTTTCATTTTGAAAAGGCTCTGATCTGACTGCCTTATTATCAGATCAGCAGAATTTGTTGTTTGGTCTTCGCAGTGGAACAAATTTATGGTGGGCAGATTCATGCTACACATTCTAATCTTATTCACAATCTTAATCCAAATATTATTGAACTAAGGCAGTTCTTAATGTGTGATATGGTTTGTTCTTTGCTGAGCTGATCTATATATGTTAATGCATCGCCCCACGCTAAGCTCTATACATTTTCAGTTCACCCTGTCTGAACTGATCATTACCGGCCCAACGTAAACATGTCAGAATTCACATACCATGTAGAATGTTTGTGTTGTCTAAATGTATATTTTGGTAAGTCATTTTCTTAATTGCCATTGAAACAAGTTTTGTACCCATTTGTTGTTATCTAATATCTTTTGTTTGTTTATTAGCTTTTTTTTTGCATTTGTATTTTTCAATTCAAGAGTGTAACTCAGTTCTGTACATGTTGCTATTTGTTGGTACTGTATTCATATTTTGACACTGTTGCAGGGAAGCATTTTATCCATAGATCTGAGTAATCATGAAATAACTTATCCAAGTATTCCATTCTTTCTTTGAAACACTGTCCCGAAAGTAACTGATTTGGTATGGAAAGAAGGGATTTGGAAAGCAACTAATATCTACCACCTTTATCTGTATTTTTGTACTACAGTCCTAACCCCAGCACTAACCTGCATATACGAGCTGTGGAAACGTACTCTCTTGAGTGATGTGTTTGATGTAGTGTCATGGTGGGTGGCAGTTCTAATATCTTGTCAACCCAGCTTTGTCCTGTGGAGTTTTTTTGGCTACATGTAAAGCACTATAAATATCTATATTAGGTGGTGCACTAAATTTCATTCTTTAAATCCTACTATTTTTTAAATAAAGGAAAGTGTGTCACAAAACTCAATGATAATGTATAGTCATTGACTTTGTTCTTAATGACTGATTCTTCAAATATGATTTTTGTATGCACCATTGTAGACACTACATTGAACTTTATTTAAATTTTGCCATGATATCTTAGACATTTCTAAGCGTGTTGGAACAGATAGCAGCTGTAGTTGGTTCCAAACTGCTCTGGAAAAGCCTGCTGCTAATGAAGTACTGATCATGTGTCCATGAAAGGCCATATGTGTTTGAAATGAAACATTACGGCACGTTATGACATTGAGAAATAACAGTGTTTAAGAACTTTTTCTACGCATTACAAACAACAGCTTGGTGTGAGTGCCGCATTATTTTTCTACTGAGCTTTATTGATTGGTTAATCTAACTTCTGTGCCATTTCACTTTGGCTATTTTTCAAAACACCTTTTCTTCTATGCAAAAGCCCTGTTTAGGCTTTTTACTGATCATTTTGTATTAGTTCCATGTAATTAAATAAACTTATTAGAATTAATTGAGCAAATATTTTGTCTGTTTTACAACAAGAACATTTGATTGTACATACACTCACTGAGCACTTTGAGGAACACCTGTACACCTACTCATTCGTGCAATTATTTAATCAGCCAATCATGTGGTGGCAGTGCAGTGCATAAAATCATGCAGATACAGGCCAGTAGCTTCACGTAATGTTTACATCAACCATCAGAATAGAGAAAAAATGTGATCTCAGTGATTTTGACACTGGCATGATTGTTGGTGCCAGACATTATGGTTTGAATGTTTCTTTCTGCTGATCTCCTGGGATTTTCACACACAACAGTCTCTAAGGTTTACTAGCAATAGTGCAATAAAGAAAAAACATCTAGTGAGTGGCAGTTCTGAACAAGAATGCTTTGTTGATGAGAGAGGTCAACAGAGAATGGCCAGGCTAGTTCAAGCCAACAGGGCAATGGTAATTGTGGTGATTAGCAAATCATCTCTGAATGCACAATATGCCAAACTTTGAGTCAGATGGGCTACAACAGCAGGACAGAAAGCTGAGGCTGCAGTGGACACAGGCTCACCAAAACTGGACAGCTGAACACTGGAAAAACACAGCCTGGTCTGAATCTCAGTTTCTGCTAAGGGATACAGATGGTAGGGTCAGAATTTGGTGCCAACAGCATGAATCCACGGACCAAACCTGACTTGCGTTAACAGTCCAGGCTGGTGGAGGTGGTGTAATGGGGTGGGGAATGTTTTCTTGGCACACTTTGGGCCTGTTATAACCAATCAATCATCGCTTGAATGCCACAGTCTATTTAAGCATTGTTGCTGACAATGTGCATCCCTTCATGGACACAATTTACCCATATTCTAATGGCTACTTCCAGCATGATAATGCACCATGTCACAAAGCAAAAGTCATCTCACACTGGTTTCATGAACATGACAATGAGTTCAGTGGTCTTCACAGTCACCAGATCTGAGCAAATAGAACACATGCAGAATGTGGTAGATTTTGAAATTTGCAGCATAAAGGTGCACCTGAAAAATCTGCAGGAACTGCATGATGCAGTCGTGTCAACATGGACTAGAATCTGAAAGGACTGTTTCCAGCATCTTGTGGAATCCTTGCCATGAAGAACTGAAGCTGTTTTGTGAGCGAAGTGTGGCTCTACGATATACGTTATAATGTTCCTAATAAAGTGCTCAGAGAGTGTGACATATGGAAGCCCATTCCTACAAGAGAAAACATTGGCTTATTTTTTCTTCTCTATTTCTGGCAGCAGTATGTCAACATTTTTAAATAATACCTTATTTTTTCTAAAATATATTGAAAAAATACTAGTATCTCAAACGAATGACTTAGTGACTAAAATTATGACCACGTCAAAACATTTTTTAGTATTTTAAAAATGACATTCTCTCTTAAGTGTTCTCTGTTTGCCATTACAAAATAATGAATAAGTCTTAAAGGGGAACCGATTTTGCAAAATTACTTTCAAATAAAATAATAGTTGTCGGAGATTTTAATATCCACTTTGACAATCCTCAAGATGCACTAGGCAAGGCATTTATATCGATCATAGGCTCCATAGGTTTCACCCAATTCATAAAGGGGCCCACACACTACCACAACCACACTCTAGACTTAATACTGACCTTTGGTGTAAACATAGATAACTTAACCATTCTCCCCCAGAGCACAGCAGTCTCTGACCATTACTTAATCTCATACAAAATTCACTTCAGTAGTAATGTGCGTTCATCACCAGGTTATTGTGTTAAGCGGACAATAACTCCCTCCACAGCTGGTAGCTTTATCAGAAACCTTCAATTATCAGCTTCTGTCAGCTGTCCATCTAATCCTACTGAGTTAGATACTATGACCAAGCTCTTAGAGGATCATTTTTGATCTACTCTAGATAGTGTGGCTCCATTAAAAAGTAAATGGCGCCTCACTAAGCTAGAAGTGTTCCAGTCCGCCTGGAAGGAGAGCCTTATAGACTATAGAAGAGCACTCGCTACAGCACACTCAGCCTATCTCTCCTCTCTCATAGAAAACAATAAGGATAATCCTAGATTACTATTCAGCACAATCTCTAAACTAACAGAGAACAAAACAGTTAGTGAACCGCAGATGCCATTAGCCTATAGCAGCAACGATTTTATGTACTTCTTCAGTGAAAAATTGAAAAAATTAGGCAGAAAAATCTTGTAGGACTAACAGGAACAGCTCTTTCCTGGTTCAGGTCCTACCTCACTGATCGCTATCAGTTTGTTAATATAAACAGTGAATCATCTGCCCTCGCAAAAGTAAAGTATGGTGTTCCACAAGGCTCTGTTTTAGGACCTGTATTATTCACATTATATATGCTACCACTGGGCACCATTATCAGTAAACATGGCATAAATTTCCACTGTTATGCCGATGACACTCAGTTATACTTAGCAAGCAAACTGGATGATAAAATTAAACTTAGCAAGATTGAAGACTGTATAAAAGACGTAAAAGACTGGATGTCGAGTAACTTTCTCCTTCTTAACTCCGATAAAACAGAGGTTCTACTTCTTGGTCCAAAACAGCTAGAAACAAACTGTCTAATTTAACACTTAAACTTAACAATTTCTCAGTTGGTGTCATTATAGACCCTGATCTGTCCTTCGACGCACATATAACTAATATTACTAGAACAGCCTTCCTGCATCTGAGATACCTGCAATTGAGAAATGCATTATCTCTACAGGATGCAGAAAAGGTAGTTCATGCATTTATTACTTCAAGGCTAGATTACTGTAATGCCCTGCTGGCTGGATGTCCCAGCAAAAGCCTTAACAAGCTTTAGCTAGTCCAGAACGCTGCAGCCAGAGTTCTTACTAGAACCCTAAAGTTTGACCATATCAGCCCAGTTTTATCAACCTTACACTGGTTACTAGTTAAATTTCACATTGATTATAAAATTCTCTTACTGACTTACAAAGCTCTAAACGGACTCGCCCCTCAGTACCTGAGTGAACTTCTCTCTCACTATGAACCATCACGCCTACTTAGATCACAAGGTACTGGCTTACTATTAGTACCTAGAATTAATAAAGTTATGTTAGGGGGGAGAGCTTTCTCATACAAAGCCCCCCAGCTTTGGAATAATCTTCCTGTTAATGTTCGGGACTCAGACACAGCCTCAGTCTTTAAGTCTAGGCTAAAAACTTACTTGTATAGTCAAGCCTTTGGTAATTAGTTTTCCCTGTTAGTTCTATACCTGCCAGAGTCTCTGCTGCTCTGCTAACACTTTAATCTGTGATCAGTCACCCATTACAGAACTGACTCTCTGTGTGTTTTTCCTTTCCTTTCTTTCTTTCCTTTGCCGAGTTGAACAGCTGCCCATCCTGTGCATTCTGATGCTGCTGCCTCTCTGCCTTGATCGGGTGCCACTGCTCGCCAGCCCTCTGGACCGGCTTGACCACCATTAAGCTTCTTGCTGTACAACACCGTGCAAACCTCACCCTCACAATCCCGACCCTACTGATGCTGCTGTTGTGTAAACTAATCAATCATTTGAACTAATCAATCATTTAAACTAATCAAATTAATCAATCACCCATTACAGAACTGACTCTCTGTGTGTTTTTCCTTTCTTTCTTTCCTTTGCCGAGTTGAACAGCTGCCCATCCTGTGCGTCTGATACTGCTGCCTCTTCTGCCTTGATTGGGTGCCACTGCTCACCAGCTCTCTGGACCGGCTTGACCACCATCAAGCTCCATGCTGTACTACGCCGTGCAAACCTCACCCTCACAACCTGACCCCACTGATGCTGCCGCCGCTGCTGCTGCATGAACTAATCAAATGAATCATTGCTCCACCTGTTTTCCCTGTTTTCCCTGTTTTTGTACTAACAATGTTTACTATCCGGTTTTGACCAGAGGAAGATGGGTTCCCCTCCCGAGTCTTGGTTCCTCTCAAGGTTTCTTCCTGTTTCTCTTAGGGAGTTTTTCCTTGCCACTGTCACCCTCAGCTTGCTCATGGGGGCTTGGACCCGGATTTCTTTCTGTAATGCTGATTTCCTTGTAAAGCTGCTTTGTGACAACACCTATTGTAAAAAGCGCTATATAAATAAACTTTACTTACTTACTACTTACTTAATCATTCAATGGTTTAGGCGTAAAAATCATGGTTTGCTGTGAAATGCGCCTTTATACAGAAATTTACAGAGGCTAAATTGTTCACCATTGTAGTTCCAGGAACCAGACGTCGTTATGTCTACACTACAAATATGACCATTTTATCTGCTATTCAAAATGAGCAGTGAACTTACAAGTTTCTTATACGTTATTATAGGTCACACTGATAATGGTGAATTACTGCTAAATTCTAAAGAATACGTTTTCTTTAGGTACTATTTTTTCCTTACGACGCCCTGCATGTACCTCTCCGTCCTGCATACCTTCCGTGTTTGGTTTGGCGGCGTCGCGTTGCACAGTGTTAGTAAAACTCGTAGCTTATTAAGTGACTTTATTCATAGAGGAGCTGCGATAGATCACGGTTACACGTTCAGAGTGGTGGTGAACTGCGCTGTACCAGGGTGCAAAAATAAATGAAGAACATACAGTACGGTGCGTTTTATTTCCAGTTGCCGTTACAAGTATCAGAAATGCTGAAGTTGTGTCTAATTGTTCTGAAGCTACACACAAATACTAAAGTCGAATAATTTCGTCGACGAAGACTCACAGTTACTCAAGACCAGTGAAAAATACTAATTTCTTCAAATGCCGGCCGCTAAAGAAAACTGCTCCTCTGTTGTTTTTTCCACCACAGAAACTGGAATCAAGGTAAGAAACATTTCTGAGTGAAATAAATTAGTCGTCGTTAGCCGTTAGCGTACAGACTGTCAGAGGGCCACGCAATAAAATAACTATCTGCCTCGCTGTCCTACCTCATAAACTGGTAAGCAGAATAGCAAGTAAGTTAGTTTGTTGTTGACCACCAGTTTCCATTCACCCTGGGTTCTGCGCCGGCGCCGGCGGGTTCCT